GCTCTCGCTTCCCTCGCCCCCGCCCCGCCTCGCCCAGTTGTCCTCTGACCTTGCTCTTGCCTGTATATATTTGAAACGCCGTGCGCAGTGTCCTTCGTTAACCTACACTCTAAAAAATTCACAAATCTCTTTTGTTCCGGATTATTTTCTTTCTGTCTGCCCGCTCCGTCCAGATTGACGTCCCAGCCAATTGATGCTGCGGACCTCTGCGTCTTCTCATTGCAGCGCGGAGGTGTTGGGGGGCGTCGCCGACGAAGGCTCTCGGCTGCAGAGCATCTTGAAGAAAGAAACGCCGGCGCACGCGTCATTTGTCGCGCGAATCAGCGAATGAAACGCTACGGAGAACTTGTTTTTGTGACCAACTGGGGAAAACAGTGTGTTGGTCTTCATTTGTCTTTGACGCGACCCGCTAGCATTTCAGCCGAGGCTAGCTTTCTACTTCATTGTGGTTCAAATCCAAGTTAATCCCGTGTGAAATTTGTGAGGAAACAAATCGGTAGTTAGCAAAATATCTTTAGTTTCCCGAGTCTCAATTCCCAGAATTCTATTACAATCAGACAATAAATCATTAAATATAAAGATAAATCATTATTTCAGTTTACACATAATCTATAAGGCGTGCCTAAAGGACAAATGTAAATAATATTCAAGTATCCTACTGTAAGCTCCTGAATCGAATCCTTTACTTTTCTGCTAAGCGTTACGCTTATGTTGCGATTTAAACTGCGAATCTTCTACAACAAAACTCTTGTTATCTGGTGCCCAGATAAAAATTGGACATATCTAAGATCAGTCAAACAAAAATTGAGTGCATATTTGAAAACGGTTAACGACATAGAAAAGGTCGAAGGCGAAAGAAGCATAATGCCCAACTTACAAAAGAGACCATGAAATCATTCTATAAATCGTTTACACGTAAGAAGACACTGAGAACAAACTTGCGGGAACAAAGAAGAAGGCTATTGGGCGAAGTATATAAGCGGCTGAAATTAAATAATAATGCTGAAGCAAGCTTGTTGAAAACAATTTTCTAATCAGCAGAAACGATTTTTCCCATGGAGAGCTAACCAAAATTGCAACAATAAAGCATATACTTGCCGAACTACGAAATTGGGACGAGTGTTTCTGGAAGCGATAAACTTCATAATGTTTTGGCTGCAAGAATTTACAGCATTGCCATAGGAAGTTAAGTTTGAATGTATAATAATCATAATAATAATAATAATAATTAATAATAATAATATAATAATAATAATAATAAGTAATAATAAAATAATAATAATAATAATGTTCTTTATTAATGGGCGAGGCTCAGGCTCATAGGGCCTGCTCTTCCGCCTAACCAACTGAAATTACATACATTTAGAATAGTAACATTTTAAGAGGGGATGACAAGCTGTTCATCTTACGTCTGGGAGAAACAAACCTAGGGAGCCATCCCGGCATACGCGCCTTAAGCGATTGAGTAAACGCCCAGAAAACCTCAATCAGGATGGCGGCTTAGGGCCGAACATTAATAGTACTGAGTAAGTTGTACATAGTAGTGAAAGGGAAAGTTTCGGTAAAGAGAAAAAAAGAAGAGACGTTCAGGGGAAGGGGTCTAAAATTAAAACCTGATAAAATATGTGAGGACAGAGGGAAGAGAAAAAGAAGCGAAGAAAAAGGACGAAGAAGAAGTAGGCGAAAAAAAGTGAAAGTTATTTGAGGAACGTTAGAGAAAGCTACGTTAGTTTACGGTAGCTTTTTACATAAATATACAATAATTTAACACGAAAAGAAGGCACAATAACACTGGTAAGCAAATTAACAACATAATTTAGAACACAATACTGGAGTAGCTAAGGAACAATACAAAGAGTGGCTGGTATCTAACATCAATTTTTGTTTATGCCAACTATATTGTAGTAAATATCCTGATGGTTTTTACAAAGATAGCTACCAAAGTATATTTTATTTCTGGAAACGTCACTAATACTTTTGTATATTTTAATAACAATTTCGGTTAGGGTACCGCAGAAAAGTAATGAATGTTTCAAGTAATTAGATGTGAGAGGGAATGAAAGGATGAGGATAGAGCGATGAGGTATGGGGTAGAATATTGGAGAATAAAAGGAGGGGGACATGAAGTTTTTAACGGGGGCGGTGACCCGGGCGCCTTGGAAGTGGGAGAATGTCCTGGAGATTGAAAGAAGACGTTGACGCCGTTCTATATGCCGTTATCCCTTACCCATGTGGTTTAATTCAGCCTTTGGAATTTTCCGAAAGTGTTTAAAATGCCTTTAGTCTCGCTGGTAAATTTATTTCCCAGGCTCGGATAGCTGTAATGGTGAATGATTTAACCTGAATGAAGTCGGGTTGTGAACGTGGTACACAAAGCAGGGCTGATTCAACGAGCTCGATTTTAGTTTTCAGAAGGATTGAAGTTACTTATGAGGAGTGTTGCATGAGACGCGTTAAAAACTTTATAAAGAAGAAGTAGAGAGTGTAGTCGGTTCTTTTGTGCTAGAGTAAGCAGACGACATTCTTGTCAAAAATTCGGATACATGGTCGTATTTTCGTAGATCAAAAATAAACGTCAGCGCATGCGTTCTGGGCTACTTGTAGTTTAGGGTTTGTAATTTGAATGTCATGTTTGGTCAGAAGAAAAAGTCGGCAATAGTCGGAAATGTGGCATGATAAGTGAATTTGGAATTGAGAGTCCCTCACGTGTGCTTTACCTGGTAAACGTGCTCGCAGGCGTTTCAGTGAGTGCATGGAAGCAAACACTTTAACGGCAGGTTGAATCTAGTGTGAGTTCCAGCTGAGAGTGTTGTCGCATAATAGCACCTAAGTTTCTTGACCTTTCAGAACACCAAGGTTAAATGGTTCCATTTGATTAAATATTAGGCAGAGGAGAAGATGAATTTTATTCACTAGTGCATTTCGAGCTGCTAACCATGCACTGTGATTTGTTTGGTGTTTAATTGTAAGCCTAAAAGACGCTTGCCCAGTTGTTTACCGCTATTAAATCTTCATTAATTTTTTGTACGAGTGAAACGAGGTGGAGACGGGTGACCCCTTAAGATATATCTGGAGATCATCGCCGCATACATTTGCGTTGAACTGCAATATTTAAGTGGCATTTCGCCCACGTCATTTACATGATTGAAGAGGCCAGTGCCCCTAAACACAGTGCTTGAGCAACCTCCGCGGTTAAAGCTTCAAGTCCCTTGAGCTACCGGCTACCGACACCCTCACTCTTTGGGTTCTAGGAAGTTTAAATAATTAAGAAAACCCATTTACCACGTGGGCTTGTGCAAATCCATGCATCTTTTAGTTTGGCGAGGCAGGATGTCGTGATCTACTGAAAGTCGAATGCTTTGCTGAAAATCCAGAAGAACCAAAATAGTTATATACTGTTAATCTATTGCTGTTCTCGCGTCTTCACCCAGTGACGTTTAGTAGCGCGGTTTCCTGTATTTCTGCCGGAACGGAACCTGATTGCTGATCGTTTAAACGTGATTTTGTTCGAAGATTACTGGTTTCAGTTTGTTTCCGGACCGACTTTTTCGAGTACTTTTAGAGATAGTCTTGGGAGAATGCAATTGGGCGGTATTCAATAGAGTTTTTGGTGGATCTGGTCATGGGAATAGGATGCACGAGCGCATCTTCCAAGGATAAGGGAATATTGGCCCGTATTAGTGAGAATTTACGATTTCGGTGATAATTGGGTAAGTCACATCTAAGCTATTTTTTAGCAGTTATGGCATTTATACCATCGGAACTGAAGCATTTGATTTGAGACTTGTGAACGATTTTGATTATATCCTGATGTTCAACTGGACGAAAAGAAAAATTTTATCGTTTGGATTTTATTTCTTGCTGGTTTTGGAGAAACAAAGAGAGATTGCTTTTTTCAAGTTTGTAAATAGTATAAACTTTATTGAAGACCCCAAAGCGCATTCCGCTTTTTTGGCAACGGAGTGTGACGTATCTTCATACAGATGTGCGCCAGAAGTTGTAATACCTGCAAGATATTTGGCTATAACTGTTTGACCACGGTTACAACTTTTTAACATCACGTGTGGTCCGAAATCCTGAATACCACTTTCAAGTGAAACATCCTAGAGAACAACAATAAAGGAGTAGAAGGATGGGTAGGAGTGTAGAATAAAAGTAATTATTTACTCAATCATAAGCAAAGAGAAGAAAGCGTAGACGGTTGCGGCAACGGAAGGGGGAAAGGGGTTTTGCCAGGTTTTCGGGGGGATCTACGTTAGGTATTGTATGTAGTGATTGTCCCTAGCGATACCACATCAATAATAATAATAATAATAATAATAATAATAATATGAATAATATAATATTAATATAAAATAATATGTAAAAATATTATTATTACTATTATTATTATTGACATAACCTATTTAGAACTTGTTATATAAAGTTTTCTTACCAACATTAAATTTCAAATAAGAAAAGGAAGAATAATTAAAACTGTTGAACGGGTTAGGGACGGACTGGCAAAATACTATTGTCTCGAAAAAACAAAGAACACCAAATTAAAATGGCGTCTCGGGTTCTATCGTGAAGAAAAAATGACACGTGACTTACAGCGAGCAATATCATTGATCGCCTGATGTTTTGAAAATCCGACTTCCGTAATCTTTGACCTAGTTTTCTCTCAACTTAGCAGACGTTAGGAATTCTGCCTCGCAACTTTGCCTGTTGACAAATACTGCGCGACAGATTCCTCTTAGATTCAAGGCAGAGGAGGCCAGACTGGCAGCAAGAAGGAAAATTTGCGTCCGAGAATAAAAATACGTGGAGAAAGTGCGAAAAATTCCAGACCAGGGAAGCAAT